GAGGAGAAAAGGAGGAAGAGGAGAAGGGAAGAGGAGGACTAGAAGGAGGAGAACAAGAGAAGGAAGAGGAGGTGGTGGAGGAGAAGTAAAGGAGGAAGAGGAGAGGAAAGAAGAGGAGGAGAAAAAGAGAAAGATGAGGAGAAAAGGAGGAAGAGGAGAAGGGAAGAGGAGGACTAGAAGGAGGAGAACAAGAGAAGGAAGAGGAGGTGGTGGAGGAGAAGTAAAGGAGGAAGAGGAGAAGAAAGAAGAGGAGGAGGAAAAATAAAAAGATGAGGAGAAAAGGAGGAAGAGGAGAAGGGAAGAGGAGGAGTAGAAGGAGAACAAGAGAAGGAAGAGGAGGTGGTGGAGGAGAAGTAAAGGAGGAAGAGGAGAGGAAAGAAGAGGAGGAGAAAAATAAAAAGATGAGGAGAAAAGGAGGAAGAGGAGAAGGGAAGAGGAGGAGTAGAAGGAGAACAAGAGAAGGAAGAGGAGGTGGTGGAGGAGAAGTAAAGGAGGAAGAGGAGAGGAAAGAAGAGGAGGAGAAAAATAAAAAGATGAGGAGAAAAGGAGGAAGAGGAGAAGGGAAGAGGAGGAGTAGAAGGAGAACAAGAGAAGGAAGAGGAGGTGGTGGAGGAGAAGTAAAGGAGGAAGAGAAGAAGGGAAGAGGAGAACTAGAAGGAGGAGAACAAGAGGAGAAAAAAGAAGAGGAGGAGAAAGATAAGGAAGAGGAATAGAACAAAGAGGAGGAGAAACGGAGGATAAAGATGAGGAGAAGAGGAGAAGAAAGGGAAGAGGAGGACTAGAAGGAGGAAAACATGAGGATAAAGAGGAGGTGGTGGAGGAGAAGAAATAAAGGAAGAGGAGAAAAAGATGAGAAGAAAGGTAGAGAAAGGTTAGGCAAAAAGGAGGAAGAGGAGAAGCAAGAGAAGAGGAGGACAGGGAGGAGGAGGAGAAGAAGGAAAGAAGGAAGAGTAGAAAAAAGAGGAGGAGAAAGGGAGGAAGATGTACAGAGGAGGGGAAGAGGAGGAAAAAGAGCGATAAAGAATAATGAGAAAAATAAGTGGAGAAGAAAAATAAGTGGGGGGACGAAAAAGAGGAGAAGAGGGAGATGTGGGGACAGGAGGAAGAGGAAGAAAATTAGACAGATTAAGGAAAAGGAGGAAGAGGAGAAGAAAAGGGAGAAAAGAAGGAAAAGGAGAAAAAAGAAAATTAGGAGACAAGGAGGAAGAAAATGAGTAGAGCAGGGGAAGAGAAGGAAAAGGGGGATAAAGTGAAGGAGGAGAAAAAGAAGAGAAAAAATTAGAAAGAGGAGAAAAAAATACGAGTGGGAGAAAAAAAGAGGAGAAGAGGAGGAAGAGGAGGAAAAAAGAGGAGGAGAGTAGGAGGAGGGAGAGGAAGAGAAAAAGGAGGAGGAGGATGAAGAAGAGGAGGAGAAAAAGAAAAGGAAGAGAAATGGAGGAAGAGGCAGTGAATGAAGAGAAAGGAGGGAGGAAGAGGAGGAGAAAAGCGGAAGATGAAAATGAGGATAAAAGATGAGATAGAAAAAAGAAAAGGAGGAGAAATCGAGGCGGAGGAAGAGAGGAGGAGGAGAAAAGGGGGAGGAAGAGGAGGAGAAAAAGAATGAAAGGAGGAGAAGCTAAAAAGAACAGCAAGAAACAAGAAAAAAGAAGAGAAGAAAGATCAGAAAAAGGAAATAGAGAGGGGAGAAGGACATGGAGAATGAGTAGAAGAAAGAGAAGGAGATGCAGAAGAATATGGAGGAGGAGCGATGGCAGAAACTATGAGTGAGCAGCTGTCTCATCACTGCATGTCAAAGTCCAACGCTTCTGCTGGCTCCAGAGCCGCTCCGCACAAAGAGCCCAGAGCCTCGGCCACACGAGCACAAGGTCAGGACCCTTCTACAGCGGGACGACAGCCACTAACAGCACGTCCTAGTGACACATAACGCTCAGAAACCAGTTCAGCCTCTGCCAACGACTGACTGCGAGACAGAAACAGATGCATTCTGGGCATGAAATGTGTTCATGCCATGGAAAAAGTTGTAGTAAGTAGAAGAATGAGAAAGTCACAGCAACAGTATCCAAAGCTCTGCCAGACACCGCATCTCTAACAAGAAAGATCGTTATAGGATATGAAAGTGTACAATAGAGATTAAAAAATGGTGAACCTAACAGAGGACGTCTACAATAGACCGGGTGTCAGTCCACAACTCAATACTTTATAAGCAGAATAAAGAGTTCTGTTAGTTTACAAACATCTTTGAAGACTTGGACTTGCAATTCTAACAATGCCTGAGAACACGATATGGTTTAGCATGATTATCAAATGGAAATGACCGCGTTGTAATTCTATAAAAATGTAATCGTATGCGCTGTGATCTTTTCATGTTTTGCAGTAAATGCTGCTCCACACAAACTCCATCTCTGAAAGCGCTGAGTTTGAGTCGCTTACAACGTGCATTTGAAAAAGCAACATGCACGAAACACCTTCAAAAGATGGTAATGAGAAGCATTTAGAAATCTGTTGTCAACAAAAGAGAAGCATTTCAAAAGATACGTTTGCATGCAGTTTTCAGCTCTGTGGGTTAATATTTGAACACAAAGATAAATATTTTAAATATAAATATTAGTATTGTAAATGTAATATTGTTAATATAAATTATTGTTATGAAATACTTTACAGATCAATAGTATTATGGGAATATTTATTTACTGATTTAATTTGTATAAATGTATTAAATAATACGAGGACTAATACTAATACTAATAATAATAATAATAATAACAAAAATTGTAATTAGACATGTTTCTACAGTTTGTAATCAGAAAATGTTTATAAATCTGTTGTCAACAAAAGAGAAGTTTCTCTGAGGACTTCAGCCAAAATAAAAGCTCTAAACATTTGAAAGCAAAAAAACATTAAAGACTAAGAGAGTTAAGAGAGTTGAAAGAAAAACAACAACCAAAAGTAAGTATTATTATATTATTATATAAATTAAATTTGTATAAATAAATGTATAATTTTATTAATTAATAATAAATAAAAAATAAATAATAATAATAAATACATTTGTTTCCACAATTTGTTCCTCCTGTTGTTTTTATTAAAAAAAAAAATGGCATTTACAGTTTAATGGCTGGTAAAAGATAATTATGCCTGAATTTTCTCAAGTCACCATCCATTGGCAGGTGTGGCATAATGTTAGTTTTAGGCCCTGCTTGGACCACTGACAGGCCAATGCATTAAATACCAGAAGAACAAAAAGACTTTTTGACATCAAACTACACCAGAGTTTAACACATAATACACAAATTAAAAATCTAAACCTTCAGTTTATAACCAGCTATAATTGAAACTCATGTGATGCGATGAAACGCAGTATTGACTGTCCTAATAATGCAGCTCCTGTAACGGTACCTCTTTTATCCCGCCGTTCATCGCCAGTGTCGTCATATTGAGTTTCCATGGCTGTTTCGTAGAAATCCAGAAACAAACCTCCCTCCTTGAAACTTCTCTGGTGTTCTGACCGTTTCTCTCGCTCTCTTGCCTCTCTCAAATCTCTCTCTTCTTCACATCGCTGTCTTACCCTGAACCCACACAGAAACTAGAGATGTTTTCCAGTCACGTCTGCACAAAATCACGGACGCATTCCCAGACCGGCACAATGCCAGTGGAGGAGGTGGAGGAGGAGACCCACACAATCCCATGCATATATTAACATACTCAAAAAAACACCGGCCACAAAGTAGCCTTCCATCTGCTGCCTGACCCATGAGAACCCAAGACATCCAAAGAAAAGGGGAAGATTCCCTCTGGACAATGAAAGATGCAGAGAAGAACGGAAAGTGGGAGCAGATGGAGGTAGAAATGAGAGAAAGATAAGTAAAGAAAGAACTAAATAACTACAACTTTAAAGCAGATTTTGATGCTGCATTCAAGTCCTCCTTGTGTAAATCGTAATTACGTGATGTGTATTCAAGTCATTTTGGACGTGTTGGACAATTCTTTTTTACCTGCTGATAAAGACACTTAGCTAGCCAGTGCTATAGTGCAACAAAATCTGAAGCAAAGGAAGAGCATCAAGCATGTAATTTATGCTTTATCTGTATTATATTTATTCTTGTGCTACCGTACAGAATGATGGGAAATGCAGGTTGGTTGTGCAAAACTGTGAAAATTAGCATTATGATTTATTAATTAACTGGAGGGTTTGTGAGTTGGTGAAAAGCTAATTATCAATTAAATTAAAAATAAATGTACAATTGAAATAAATAAATAATGATACAATAAACTCAAGCTATAGAAGCCTGTTTCTGCCATAGCATTAAAAAAAAAGGTAACAAACTTTTCATCTCACAATTCTGACTTTTTCACAATTTTGAGGAAAACAACATCAGAACTGTGAGATTTATTCTCGGAATTGCAAAACTGCAAATCTTCCCGCAATTCTGAGAATAAAAGCCGAAAAGAAAAAAACTCAGAAATCAGAGAAAAACCATCAGAACTGCGAGACACAAAGTCAGAATTAAAAAAAAAAAAAGAGGGCGATATTGTGAGATATAAACTTGCGATAACCTTTTTTATTTTTTATTCCATGGCGGGAAAAAAAATTCTGAGAAAAAAAAATGGCAGAATTGTGAGATATAAGATTGCAATTAACAAAAATGTATTCCACACAGAAAGAAAAAGAAGAAGAAGAAAAAAAAAACAGAATTTCAAGATGTAAACTCAGAAAAAAATTTCAGAATTGTGAGATATAATCTCAGAAGATTATGTGAGATGTAAATTTACAATTGCGGGGGGAAAAAAGTTAATTCTGAGTTTGTTTCTTGCAATTCCTTATTTTGTTCTACTCAGAATTGTGAGAACATTTTCATTTTTGCAATTCTGAGTTTATCTCTCACAATTCTGAAAAAAAAAGATCAAAAAGAATTGCAAAAATGAAAATGTTCTCACAATTCTGAATAGAAAAAAAGGAATTGTAAAAAAAAAAAAAGATTTGCGAAATACAAAGTCACAATTAGCTTTTTTTTATCCCATGGCAAAAACAAGCTTCCAAAAAAAAAAAAAAACTCGACTAAATATTTGTTTACCTGCACATCATGTGACCATGAATCAAAATCCGTGAACTTGCAAATGTGTTGTTAAATTTTTGAAATATGAACTTAAACTCTTTGGGACTTCAAGCAAATATTTCAGCTCAAAGGGTTTCGGCTGACAAAAAAATCCCTGCTCCGAACAGTTCTGACTCACAAACTCAAAATCTCACAAACATGATCATTCTGATTGCACATTCTGAATTAAAACATATTAGGCCAAAATTAGGAGCAATAAAATCAACTCCTGACTAGCTCTTAAATATCAGCTTGTAGGCGGGTTGCAGGTTGTGACAGGCTCAGCACAGCTGATGGTGTCAAAGGGCCAGTGAATGCATTGTGTTCATCAACATGGGGTAAACTGAGGTTGTGTTCACTCACCCGTGAGCATCGGAGCTCTGTCTGACGCATAAAACAGAAGGTTCTCATGACCACGAGAGCCTGGAGCCCCGTACACATCTCTCACAATAGACACACACACACACACACACACACACACACACTTTTAATAAAGTTAGAAAAATGCCATTACAAAAGGTAAAAACAAAATTCCACTGTAAATCACTTTAAGGAGTCAAATATCACCTCGTAATGGGAAGGCAAATTTTTGATAAAATTTTGGATTATTGATTAGAAGGTGCTCCTAAAATTCTGAACGTGCTCCTACATTTTTTAAGTTAGGAGCACAAGTGCTCCTAAAAAGAAAAGTAAGCGTAGAGCCCTGATTTAGGGCTATCAAAATTAACATGCTTTTCAGGTTTTTTAGGTAGGTCTAACATTAATTTTTAGGTACAGAAATTGAATAAAGTAATCAAATGTAAATAACATCGCATATTTGACTGTATAAATTAAAGATTAATCCTTATTAAAGTTACAAAAGCTATTCAATCAAGCGCAGTGTGTGATTTCCTTGTCTTTTGTTGTTTGATTAACATTAAAAACTTTAAGACAATGCACGGATCCACATACTGATACTGTACGTTCAGCCGACTAGCACAAGCACAAGAGTTGAAAGAGAACTCACGGGTTTGGCGCTTCGGATGAGCGAACACAAATCTTCTCACGGCGCGCGCGAGTTCTCATTCACGTCTTCTGGCTCTTGAATATTTAAACGGGCAAGGCTTAAATGCGTTTAGTTAAAACAATGTGTGCTGTTCAGGTCTCACATACGCGGGTGATAACAGCATAAATGACGGGTCATATTCCAGCATACGGCACTCGCACTGAACAAAGAGTGACAGGTTTGTCCACGTTTTTTTTTTGTTCATCGCTGTTGTTGTAATGTATTGGGAAGCTAGAATGCATATCCATCGACAGAAACATACATTTACGTGTTATTTTTAAACGTGACATTTTACAGATGCTGTCAGATTTAAGTTTAACCGCGGTGCAAGTGCGTGCCGAACCGTGTGTGGAGAACGGTACGGTTTGGTTTTTTACCGAGAAACACACATATTTTGTGCCTAATAACACTTACCCGTAGTAAAAATAACTGTAAATGCACAGTTTCTCATGACTAATTTAATGTATTTATTTACATTATTGAACTTGATTAATGAGCTTGAAAAAAAATCTGCATGCATAATAATTTTAAAATAACTGTCAACATTTTTTTGAAATAGTGTGTGTGTATATATAAATGCAATAAGACACTTAATATTTTTTTACAGTAATGCTACACTTATTTTGTGCCTAACACCTCAAAATGCATAGCAAATGCATAGTGTCTCATAGCTAATAAAGTCCTTAGTTATAAACATTTTTTTTTTTTTTTTTTTTTAACAACAAACGTTCAGGATCAGGTCACTGATTCAGAGCCACAACCCAGATACATTTATTTCAATCAATCTGTGAGTCTGCTGACCTGTTTCACAGAGAACGAGTCGATCAAGCGTGAATATACAGATATAAATCACAACATCTACTCCATGACACGTCACCTCAAAACATCAGCGAGTGATTGTCACATAATGCAGTTTCTACATGCATGGCTTTCATTTCCAGAGGAAATAATATACAAATGCAGGAAGCAAAATTGATTAATAGCACACTTTACTTTTATGTTCACTCACTCCACTGTTGTTTTGGCTACATATTAGTCAATATGGTTCCTATTTTGTAATTTGCTTTGGATAAAAACATCTGCTAAATGCCTAAACATTAATGTAAATGTAAATATTAATTCCTTTACACCAATGAAACAGAAAAGGAGAACGTCAGCAGCTTTTTTTTTCCACACAACAGAAGTGGATTATTATCTGTAATGCCAAACCAGCTCCAAAATAAGACTATTAAAGTATCATTAAAGACAGATTTGCATCAGGTTTGACATCACAACAATTATTTGCGAATGAAAAGCAAATGAGATTTGAAAACTGCTTATTGCAACTTTTATTGCACTCTTCTAAAGCTTGACCGTATAAAACACCACAAAAAAGAGCAGCTCTATCATTCATTTGGAGCTTCACAGATGAAAGAAAAAACATATAACTTTGGAATTACATAAAGTTGAGTGAATGATGGCAAAAATGTTCATTTTTAGCCGAACTTTTCCTACTTTGGCTCTGGCTGACTGTGTTGGGGGGAAATTCCCTCCAAAACCTAATTGGTAGCCTTCAACCCAATGTTCCCCACCTCTGGATCAGCACATCTCTAATTGCATGTTTGTGTTGTTGGTTTTTAGGGCTTGGGGGGAACTGAGCTCTTCTGAGATTGTTTAAAACCAAAATGTGCCCTCTCATGTGACTTTACACCCGCTGGTTGGCACCTCAGTAAAGAGAAAAATGATGCTTAGAAAAACACAAGCCCAGATGATCCTTGCAGAAACTGACCTTGAATCACAACACTATCTGTATTCATCCTTGCAGTAAGCACTTCACTGAAAAACTATATAAAATTTATAGTTATGACTGCAAATTCCGATTGAATGAAAAGTAGTTGAAACACATTAGCCTATATGTTAAAGAAACAAATCCATCATTAAGGCATTTTAACTTGGCTAAAATTTGAGTCCATAATCCATAATAGTGCTTCGTCCTGTTGTCTCTCACATCAAAATCCAGCCACATATTTGTTTAGAGATTGTAAACAGTGCTTGATCTGTGCAGATTTCTCTCCTGATTCAGACCAGAACACTTTTTTCACTGGGGGAAGCGTTATTATGGATAGTGGACCCGTATTTTATCATTTATGTTTATCAGTTATGTTTTTTATTTATGTTTTTATCAGCTGTTTGGACTCTCATTCTGACGGCACCCATCCACTGCAGAGCATCCATTGCTGAGACACTGATGCAATGCTGCATTTCTCCAAATCTGATGAAGAAACAAACTCATCTTGGATGATCTGAGGGTGAGTATGTTTTCAACACATTTTTGGGTGAACTATTCCTTTAATGCATCTGCTTTATAAAAGCAATAAACCACTTAATGGTTAAAGGGGGTTTCAGGCATGACAAAAACACCCCATAGCTGTGGTAAAATCACAGGCATGTACTACTTTAATGTAAATGTGATCAGGGTGACTGATGATCATCACATGATCATCATTTTTGGATGAAATAATTCTTTCATGTGACCTTGGTTAAAAAAGACTTCATTCCTTAAGGCCAATTTGTTCCAAAAACCTCTAAAAGGCACATGAATGCTGATGGTTTGTGTGACGGCTCTTTGTATCTTACAAAAAGATAC